AGAAAAAGAGAGAAACAGAGAGAGAGAGAGAGAGAGAGAGAGAGAGAGAGAGAGAGAGAGAGAGAGAGAGAGACATTGATTCAGCGACAGAAAAGCAAACGGGCAAACGGACGAAGGCTTTCGAGATGCCGATAGAACGAAGACAGGCTCCGCCGTTTTCGGAGATCGTCCTCTCTCTCTCTCTCCTGACGCGAATGGGAATGAATGAACCTTGAGTGACATGACACGTCGTTGATATACTCCCGATGATCTCCCGGAGATCGCGTGATTAGGCCCGTTCGTGAAACACATCTCAACCATACTCACGTCGTCAGTGTAGAAAAAGTGACAGTCGTACGTTACTCTAAGGTGCGCCTACTTAAATCTTGCGACACCAAAGCGCTTTACTACTTTAGCGGAGGTGCGCTTCTGAACTTGCCTGTGCGTAGCGGCAGCGGTAATCCCTACAACAAAAGAATACTTCCAGAACCCTGACGTGCGATCGGTTTCGCCGACACGCACACAAGCACACCGAGAAACCCGCAACCATTCCTGCCGACGATACTCTCGATATTTCGTCGTATTCATCGACATACTATCTACGTACACACCTTAAATCTACGGGGAAACGTGCGAAGCACACGGGTACAGGTGTAATTCCACAGATATCCTGAGATATCCGGGAGCAGGAGAAAGAGAAGAGAGGGACGTGCAAGCGGAGGGTGTTTGGTCTCCTCAAATTTCTTTTCCATTTGGAAAACAGAGTAACGGCCCAGCCACTCAAATTCGATTTTTCACTCATATTCACTCACAGCGTGCATTTCTCACTCGTGGAATGAATTCTCTACTCATCGAGTGGACATTCCTGTTCGAAATTGAAGAGCGAATCCCATATGTACTTGCTTATTAAGCGGCTTGCACATCTGTTTTCTTGTTTGCACATTTTTTTTTTGAAGTCGCAGCGCTCCGTGTTGTTACCATTGACAGATACTGTTGACGTTTGCATAATCGATTATGACAGGAACCGAAGTGACAGTACACGATGTAAGTATTGGCTCTTTATTATACTCTTATCTGATGAATAAGAATGCAATAAAGATACTCGAGCTTTTTTCTGAATTCTTCGTTACATTCCCGTGACGTCTCGTATATCATTTCGGCTCTTGTCATAATCGATTACCGTGCAAACACGTCAGAAGTGCCTCTCGATTGTGACAGTCTGGAGCGCTGAAATTTCATTGGGGAAAATGTGTACAGATCGTTTAGCAAACGAGTGCACTCCACTGTCTTACAGAAAGAAATTCGCTCTAATTGATTTCAACGTTCACTCGTACAGATGAAGAATCCGCTCCAATCCTCTCGCGACTTCGATATCTGCATTATTTAGCGAATTTCTACTCGTTCCTAGACTTCTCTCCAAGAAATTTGGAGAGATCACGAACGGCTCGAATACGAGAATCAAATCGCTCAGGTGGGATAAATGATGCGCGCAAATGTCGAATATTAATTTGAGCGGCTGTCCAAACGGAAGGAAGGGGATACTGCGGTCGAACACGTGCCGGGTAGTTGAGCAATAACGCGTGGAAATAGCGCGGCTTGAAGCGCCCGATATACAGATATCCAGATGATCTACATCTACTCGAACATCTACGCGGATGCTAAACGCGGTGTCGTCACCCCCTGCGGCATGCTATCAACGTTACGGGAAAGGCGAGAGATGGCTATTAACGGGTAATGCTGGACAGCGTGACAGACGGACGAAAAGCGATACACGAAACGAACGGCGAACAATGATCGACACGCTATCGGGTGAGGGCGGGCGTAATAAGCCGGACAGAACTTTGGGACGCTTTAAGCGGCGTGTAAATTATCGGCGCACCTCGGTGACGGTAATTGGTTTTGTAGCGGCGGCGAACGCGAGCGAGCGGAGGTCACGCGCGTCGCCGCGGGTATATGAGCCGGTGAATTCGTTCAGGAACTTTTCCAAGCGGCGATTACGTTCTTTGTTTCCACGTTATGCTAACTACCGCCTCTCCGTTAGCGTGCGTCCGTAACAGTCTCGTGTAGGGGAGAGGAAGAAAAAGAAAGAAAGAGAAAAAAGCGGACACCACGTCTAATGTATGCCAAAAAAAGAGAAACTGCTCCCGAGGTCAATCTCATCTCGGAGTCTGTTGCGGATCAGGAGACAGGAAAAAGGGTGGTCTCGCGAAAATTTCCAACGGCTCTCGAGCGACTTCAACCGGTGGACCGGCCGAGGAGACAAACGTGGTCTCGTCCTCGAGGACGAAAGAGACCATCATCCTCGCGCGACAACTTGATCAGAAATCCTCTACGATCATAAGGATGACGTATGCGTTCTCTCTCTTTCTCTCTTCCGAGTGGCTCTCTTTCCTCTCGGAAAAGTCATGTACTTACTGCGAAACGTGTCCTGACTGACCGCTGCCTCTTGGGACACCAAGTACTGCCTGGCCTTCTTGCCGCTGTGGTCGCGTACGTCTTGATTCGCTCCTGAAAACAAAAGATCTCGGTGGTTCCGTCGGCGATGTGATTTTTTTGCTATTTCGTGCGAGGCTCGCGAGAAAGAGAGAGAGAGAGAGAGAGAGAGAGAGAGAGAGAGAGAGA